ATGTTTTTACAGAGTGGATTGTGTAGATGGTGCATAATGGAAACAAGAGAACAGTGGAAGCCTGATTGAAAAGGCAGGTAAAAGAAATGGAACGAAGGCTTAAAGAACGTAAAATTGATGAAGTATAGAAAGAATATTTAGCTAAACTTCGTATTTTAAGTTCATGCCAATTTTCTCCTACTTCCTTGAACTTAAACACTGTTTGGCACCATTACTACAGACCTATTTCAAGAACCATTCATGTCTGCGGTTAATCACAATGTACACTGAGATTGTAAACTTAAAGAACGTTCACCCAGAAAGAACGTTCCGAGATTTAAACAGAACGCCCTGGAAAACTTTATACTTTGCACCTATTATTATTAGAACTTTTTCTTTCCGTTTTGATTGTATGATTGTCAGAAAATATTGTTTAAATAGAACCTTAAAATTGTAATAAAGCAGCAGATGATAACTGACTCCTGACTCTGCTCATCCCTCTCGCATTGACGCCTTATGCACCAAACAGGGGACCCCTCACCCCGCTGCGGCTGGACCACGGCAGAGTTGAGGTTGTGCTCAGCTTCTTCTCCTTTGGTTTTCTGATTGTAGGTGTCTACACGTTTATTATAGGGTTTTGCTTTGTCTTCTCCAGCTCCCCTCTGGCTTCATCCATGCATGCATTGGTTTTAGCTACTATAAGATTGAGAACAAGCTTCAGAATTTCATCTGACATCCACTTTGATCCTTCCTCTCTTTCCTGTCTTTTTAGTGACTTTTTCTTTTCTTCAAGAATGATAGTTTTAGTGCCAACCCCTCCACTGCCCTCTCCAGCTCTTATGCATTCTGTTATTAGTGTTCAATGCATCAAGTCTGTTTGAGATAAAATTGAAATTCGGGTGCAATAGACTTGAATTCATATTTTGGCTCTCCTGGTCTTGTTTTAATTTTCTTCACCGTTATTTTGAAATTACATAGGAGCAATTAATGGTCACTTTGATAGTCCCTCACCTGGTTTTGGTTGTTGTTATCTAGCTTCCCAGTCATATATTTCCATCAGATATATTCATTTTGATTTCTCTGTCTTCCATATTGAGATGTCCTTGTGTATCATCTCCTTTTTTGTTGTGTGGAAAAAATATATATTTGCTATGAATCAGTCATTACTTTTAAAAAAAATTCTGTTGTGCAATCTGGCTCTGTTTCTGTCAGCAAGTGCATATTTTCCAAATACTATTCCTTCCTCTTTTCTCCAACTTTTGTATTCTAATGGTCAATAACTATCAGTGCATCTTGATCGCATGCTTGATGAATTTCAGGCTGAAGTCATTGGTAGAATTCTTACAATGTGCATCATTAGCTTTTTTGGTTGGTGCTGGTACATTTGAATAATAGTTGTACTGTTGGAATTTCTCAAAGTCAGATAGACAGAATCCTATGTCAGGCAGCCCTGAACTTCAAGATGGATGTTGCAGGGTCCTTTTGGACAATGGAATCCATGACATTCCTCAGCAAATATGTTTCAACATGTTGTCCGATCACCACTCCTCTTACCCAGAATTTGGCTAAGAAAGAAAGAAAATGGAGCTAAACTAACATATTGCTTTTTAAAGTTGCCCTCATTCCTTTGCTCACTTTCCATTAGGCCCAAGCAATCACTGAGGAACTTTGTCCTCTATTTATTGCCCTATTTTTACAAGAATTTTCAGATCTCATAATCTACCTATGGAAAATGTAAAACAGTATTCCTTCAACTAGTTTATTTTTTCATCTCTTTGAACCACCAAACAGGGTCCTCTTCCAAAGTCCACCTCCCCAATGTGTCCCTCTGTGAGTAGCCACCACCAGGACAGCCCTGTCCCCAGCATGCAACTGGGCCCCTCTCCAGGCACCGCATGGCCCTGAGGCACAGCAATTGGGATGCAACCTCTATAGGTAAAATGTTTAATGCCATCAGTGCACATGTACAAACCTTGACTGTGTTCTCATAACACACCTGGCCCCTCGAAGCCAGTCAAGTGGAGAGTTTACCTTTGAGGAGTGAAAGGGAGACTTTTACTTTCTGTTTGACACATTTGTAGACCATTCAGTGAGTGTCCCCCCAAAACATACGAATTTTGTCCGTTTAAAAAGTTTGTCAATGCAAGAGATTGAACTTTGAAAGGAAGAATAATAAATGCTAATAAAGAATTCATCATTATTGGCCATGATAGGGCCACATGAGGACATGTGGACAGCAAGCGGGGATCTCTGTAGTGTGGGAGGTGTAAAAAGTTTAATGACTATAACAACTGAGGCCATGTGGGAAGGAAGGAGTGAAAGGTATGCTGGCAAGGATGGGAAGCTTATGTCTGAGCTAAAAAGATGGGAATTCAAGCTGGGAAACTGTGGTCTGAGATGTAAGCTTGAGTCAGAGGGAAATTGAGATGGAGGCAGGGGCCAGACAGTGAAGGGGAGGACATGGGACATGTACATGCCTGTGAAGGAAGCCTGTGTGAACTAGGTGGAACCAACGCAGATGGGGAGATCAAGTCACTAGGGGAGACCTTGATTTCATTCCCCCTTTATATGTCCCCTTACCTTCCTGTCTGCCAGTCCCGAAACCCAAAATAAATTTGAACATCAGTCTTTTCATAAATTTGTTTTAAATTTATTTCTTGTCCTCTAGGTTCAACGATTCAACTCCAACAATTTCAGGACACAGACTAACGTGTGTAGGCCACATGTATTACAAACTTACACATTTTCTACAAAACAGGGGAAGTGAGTTAAATCAAAATTCCTTAGGAGAGTAAGTGAAGACCTGAATCCTGCATGCCAGGTGGGAGGAACTCAAGATATTGCTGATCTGGGGCTCTGATGCAGTACAGGGATGATATTCTATGGAGTGCTTATAATAATGGCACCGCTATGGAATTAGTGTCATTTTCGGGAAGCCAGTCCACCCCTAAGCACAGTGGCTTTGGGATGACATTTTTATGAGCCAGGAAAGGCTGAGGTTGCCCTTCTTACACACAGAAGAGTACGAGCTGGGTGGTGGGGTCAGGTAACAATGCGTGAGAGCAAAACCCACATTATACATTCATTTTTTAATAACAATAGGGGCAAATAAGTCCAGTAATTTGCTCATGGTCACAAAGATTAGGAGGTAGCAGAAACTAGGCTACATAAGGTCTTCACCAAAAGAAAACACAAAGCTCCTTGGGTAAAATGGGACTGAGGGTGAAGGACTAGAGCACTAAGACTCACATCTCACCCATTAGGGATCCTCTCTCCTGAGGCCTATATCCACTCGGCTATCCAAGGACAAAGATCTGAGAAACACCATACCAGGTCCCCTTCTGTCCACACTCCAATGTAAACCATCACATCTCTGCATTCAGGAAAAAGCCCAAGGTCTCTGTAGTGCTTTCAACTACAAATCCCCAGATGTGGAGTCATTTCAAGACCAGCTCAGGCTTGGTTTTGACAGGGCTACAATTAGAACCCTAAGTGTGAGAAGGATAATCGCAAGCGGACAGCAGAGAAAGATCTGTTTGAAAGTACTTCTTTGAGTTTGTTATTATCCCATGTAGGTCCAGGACCAGGGATTTAAAATATTTCAATAGCCCAGTCGTGGTGCCCTTGCCAGATATTTAATACATATGACACCTCTGTAGAACAAAAGGATGAGCCACTGAGAACTGTAATCTTCATATGAGAGCTTTCAAGTGCTCTGTCTCTCACATACAGACTTCAGGTCACCTGTTAGGTGGATTACAGCGCATGCTGACTCTATGTGTAACAAAATAAAAGCCTGTCACACTCGGCGCCATCATCAGGATCCACGGACCATTTGAGGCTCGTAGACATTATGCTATGATCTATAGGGCCTTCAGAGCAAGCTGACCAGTCCTTTCCTCATACTCTATTTGGGGCCTGGAAGCACCACTGAAACCTATTCACCAGGGTGACCCTGATGGTGTTGGAAACACCCTTGCACAGCTTCTAGCATTAGAGCAACACACAAGCTCCCAAAGCACAACAAAGTGACAACCATTTGATTATTCACAGAGATGAACCCCATTACTGTTGTATCCATTTTTACTTACAGCAACTGGGAGGACTGATCAGACCTGCTCTGTAGAGTGCCCTAGGCGTTGATCTTGATGAAAGCCCACTGCTCATCTTCCGCTATGGAGCAGGCTTGTGGGTTCCACCTGCTCACTGCCAGTAACTGGCCAAGTGCTTTCCCACTGTGCCACCCATGCCAAAGCGTGCATATTTGAGGTACCCAAAAAACCTACTAAGAGCTAGCAAGAACATGTTGAAAAATAAACGAAGTGATTACAAAGGGAAGCAATTTTTTTTGGGGGGAAAGCAATTCTTATACTGGAATCCCAACCAATAAACAGAAGAAATGCTAGAAAAGGGAAATTACCATTTTTTAGTACTGGGTAAACAGTGACAAGTGTACTTGTGTTTTCCTATGTGAAAATGACTGATGGGTCATGAGGTAACATATGTTTACACTTATATTAATTAATGCAGTTTGTAGGACTAAAAGCAACAGGGGTCTTTATAGGACTGGACTGTAAGACATACTTATGGCTGGTGAACAAAATGCTCAACCATACTAATGATAATTTTATTTAATATTTATCAATGGGTGTACAGAATGCAGACAAAAATAAGATGAAAAACAGAGGAACAAAGCTTCTAACACATGAAAACAAAAGCCCACATCCAAATACAAATCCCCTGCACTTGCTGCATATAAGTTAACACCAATTTCAATATAAACCCACACTTGCTTAGCAGTCTTCACAGCAGCCTTACTGAAAATAATCAGACTGCATGGAAAATACACATGGACTAAGAAAGTAACCATCTTCACAGCTGTCCATGGAAAGTCGAGAAAGGAAGGCTCATAAAACAGCTGCACTGTGACCTTGTGCTCTTACTTCTCGCAGAAAAAAAAAAAAACTAAAAACACATCGTGTCTATATCTCTAGAGTTATATGGAGAGACGCTCACATTCTTTATACTCTGAATTCCTGTCTCCATTGTGAATTCCTGAGTGTTCACTGCAGTGTAGTTAAGTGTTTAGTTTAATGGCTATGTTAATGTTTCGTGAAGCTGAGGACCAAGGAATGACTTTGCTACATTACGGATTCACTGTGAGAAATCCTAGCTGAACTGGGAGCTGAGGAATAAGCAAAGGCTTTGCCATATTCCTTACATGCCCCAGTATTCTTTCCATTGTGGATTATCATGTTAAATGAGGGATGAGGAGGAACCAAAGTCTTTGCCACACTTACATTCACTAGGCCTCTTTCCTGTGAGTTCCATGCTGAATGAGGGTTGAGGCAGAACTAATGGCTTTGCAACATTACTTACATTCATAAGGTTTCTCTCCAATGTGAATTCTCCTATGTTTACTGAGGGTGGAGTGACAAGTAAAGGCTTTTCCACATTCCTTACATTCATAAGGACTCTTTCCATGGTGAGTTCTCCTATGTGTAATAAGGTGATAGTGTTGAGTAAAGATTTTCCCACACTCCTTACATTCATAAGGCTTCTCTCCACTATGAATTCTCCTATGTACAATAAGGTTAATGTGTTGAGTAAAAGCTTTCCCACACTCCTTACATTCATAAGGCTTCTTGCCACTATGAATTCTGCTATGTGTAATGATGGATGTTTGGTGAGAAAATGCTTTCCCACATTCCTTACATTGATAAGGCTTCTCTCCACTGTGCATTCTCCTATGTGAAATAAGGTAAGAATGTTGAGTAAAGGTTTTTCCACACTCCTTACATTCATAAGGCTTCTCGCCACTATGAATTCTCCTATGTGCAATTAGGTAATAGTGTTGAGTAAAGGCTTTCCCACACTCCTTACATTCATAAGGTTTCTCTCCACTATGAATTCTCATATGTGTAATAAGGTGAGAGTGTTGAGTAAAGGCTTTCCCACACTCCTTACATTCATAAGGCTTCTCCCCACTATGAATTCTGCTATGTGTAATGAGGGCTGTTTGGTGAGAAAATGCTTTCCCACATTCCTTACATTCATAGGGCCTTTCTCCACTGTGAGTTCTCCTATGTTGAATGAAGGCTGGTTGATTACTGAAGGGTTTGCCACACTCCTCGCATTCATAAGGCTTCTCTCCACTGTGTATTCTCCTATGTGTAATAAGGTGAGAGTGTTGAGTAAAGGTTTTCCCACACTCCTTACATTCATAAGGCCTCTCTCCACTATGAATTCTGCTATGTTTAATGATGGATGCTTGGTGAGCAAATACTTTCCCACATACCTTACATTCATAAGGCTTCTCTCCACTGTGAGTTCTCCAATGTACAGTAAGGTATGAACGGTACTTAAAACCTTTCCCACAAACCTTACACTCAAAAGGCCTCTCTTCACTGTGAGTGCTGCTATGTTTAGAGAGGGTAGAGTGATCAGTAAAAGCCTTTCCACATTCCTTACATTCAAAAGGCCTCTCTTCACTATGAATGCTCCCATGGTGAATGAGGGCTGATTGATGAATAAAGGCTTTGTCACACTGCTTGCACTCATAAAGCCTCTCTCGACTGTGGGTTCTCCTATGTCGAGTAAGGTAAAGAAGGTGTGTAAAACCTTTTCCACAATCCTGACATTCATAAGGCTTCTGCCCACTGTGAAATCTCTGCTGTGCAACAATGTGTGAGGGATCAGTAAAGGATTGGTCACTCACCTTACATTCATAGGGCTTCTCTGCACTGTGAGTTCTTATATGCCTAGCCAAGTGTGAAAAAATATTAAAAACTTTGCCACGCTGCTTACAATCAAAGGGCTTCTCCTCACTGTCACTTCCATAGTCCTTACATTCCTTAGGTTTCTCTCCAGTTAGCCTTCTCAAAGGACTGTGGGAGGAAGGACACCTGCAGCCTGCTCCGTGTTCTCCATCCTGACAGGTGTCACATTCAGAGTGAAGACTAGGATCACGCTTAAGTGATGACGATTGGTCCATGGAGGATTTTCCACAGTGAAGAGACGCTGAAGGATATGGTCCAATGTAAGTTCTTTTGAGCAGGTGAAGACCTGGAATCCGGCTGTAGGTCTGTCCACGCTGACTCTTCTTAATTTCACAGACATTCTCTTCAATATATCTTCTGCTAAAAGGGTAGCGAGCAGGTAGATAAATGATTATAATTTCATAACAATCACAATAAACATGTTTATTTGAATAGCTTCAACTTTCAATGATGTTGAGTAAAATGAATCAGAGACGTTTTGATTCTCATTTACTCTATTTCTATCATATGGGGCACTGGAATTGTAAGTACATAACTATATTTTAAATATTCAACGTCTGATACACATTTAATGCAAGTATTCTAGTGTGAAATTTCATTGAAAACATAATAGAACCTTTATACACATGTATATATATTCACACACAGTGACCCTGTATAATGGCCCGTGTGTATTTCCAAGCCTGTAACTCTTTACAGGAGTAGTAAGTCCCGCTAAGCTGGTAAGGGGTAAGCTGGTAAGGGGTAGCTGGTGCTTTCGACAGGCAGACCTTGAGGTCAGCAGCCATACTTGGAAGCACTAGGCCACCAAAGCTCAATATTTATTAAGAAGAATGGCAGAAAGTGCGGATGCTCACAAAAATCTCAATGGTAGGTGGATTCAATGGAGTGGTACTCCCATGAGTCTAATATTCAACAGCACAGGGGTTCAGAGACGACACTATATACATTACTATCCATATTTGTATGTGTGTATACCCACATGGACATGTACTTAAATACAAATGAACTTGAAAATCTTATGAATGATATATCTGTTCATTTCATTTCCCCGCTATGAAGACCTATAGGGCATAAATATGTTAATGAAATCATTGTGCCTTCAGCTTCCCATCGCTAACAGTTCTCATGAATTAATGTTACTCACCTTGCATGACTGTTCCGGTTATTATCCTGATCTGCAATGACGTGAAATCCACATATTTCTCCTACCTTGGAGGACCAAGAGCCACTTTTCAGGAATTGTACTATTGTATTTTCGGTGTACAGCTTTTCTCCATCATCAGGTTTTTGGGAAACTGACCGAGTAATACAAGTTGTGGTTCACAAAATAGAGCAGAAAGGAAAGGCATTACTCAGAGGAGGAAGAAATTAAAAAAAAAAAAAAAAAAGGAGCTTCTATCAAGGTCAAGTACAAAATGTTTCGGGAATGACAATGGCAACATATGTACACATATGCCTGCTACAACTGATGTATGGAATGTTATAAGATCTGTAAGAAGCCCCAATAAAAAGATTTTTTTAAAGGAAAAAAGTAAACCCAAAAACATTTTGACCTTTAAATATTGTGGCAGTGTCCTCTTTGGTTAATCTGCTGCACATGACCACTTTGGTCCACTGAAAAGCAGGACCACATTTAGAGGACGAAGGTGCACCTGACACAGGGCTCGGTTTTTGCAATTTTGCATGTCAAAGTTGGAAGTTATATACAAAAAGAACTGATGCTTTGGAATCATGGTTCTCAAGAGGAATGCGGAAAGTACCATGGACTGTCTGCTTCCAGAACAAACAGAGGTGTCATAGAAGAACTACACAAACAGAAAAACAGACCATAGAAGGATGGCAAACCTTTGAAGATATATTAAGAAAGTAGAATTCCTGCAGAACATCGTGCTTTGTACATTAGAGAGACCTGGAAGAAAAGCAAGTCCCTCAATGAGATGGACGGAGCGAGTGGTTGCAACAATAGGTTCCAGCAAGGGTACAACTCTGCGGATGGTGCAGGCCCGGGCAGTGTGTAGTATCGTGGTGCACAGGGTCGCTACAGGTTGAAAAGGACTTAATGGCATTTAAAAGCCACAATAACCTTTTCCTGTGGCCATTCGGAAACTTTGCTTCTGTCACACAGTTGAAGATATGTGATTTGCTCTTAGTTGCATTTTTGAAGGTGTTTCTAGGTATGAAACCACTGTTGCCTGCTGTCTTTCCTCTCTGAATGAACTTAAGAGTTTCTCAAATCCACCAGGTCTGTGTCTTTGGCTGAAACAGGGACAGTCGATCCTGGACACACCTCTTTTATTGGGAACACTGGGATTGGTCAGCGTTAGAAAAGCAGGAGCAGATCTCTGTGCAGCACGTTTGTCTCAGCTCTAAAGTCACTTTTCCTCACTGTTCACATCTCCCCCTTCATACAAATGCAGTACTTCAAAGGATGCCCTCTCCTAATGTCCCTGTGGCTGTTTGACTATGTCAATTTGATGGCACCTATTTTGACATCAGCGAAGAGTGAAACGTTTCTGTGTTTAATCATTTTAATGGGGGCCCATACAACTCTTATCATAATCCATCCATCCATCCATCCACTGTGTCAAGCACATTTGTACATTTGTTGCCATCATCATTCTCATTCGCTTTCTACTTGAGGCCTTGGTATCAGGCCACCTTTCCACCTTCCTCAGTACTCCCCTTCGCTTATGAAACCTAGATAATATATAAATTATTATTATTTTGTCATATCTTGCACTGGCCGACGTCTCCCTTCACCCACTTTTCTGATGTTCTTCCCTCAGGAAGGAGGTTATATGTAGATCCTAGTAATCGGTCCCCCCCTTTCTATCCCACCCTCCCTCCATCCTCCCGTAATGCCACTCTCACCAGTCTGGATTCCCAATGTTTCCAGTTCCTATCTGTACCTGTGCACATCCTCTGATCCAGCCAGATTTGTAAGGTAGAATTGGGATCATGATAGTAGGAGTGCGGGGAAGGAAGCATTAAGGATCTAGAGGAAAATTGTATGTTTTACTGTTGCTACATTGCACCATGACTGGCTTGTCTCCCCCTGGGACCCTTCTGTAAAAGGATACCTATTTGCCTACAGATGGATCTTGGGTCCCCAATGTACACTCCCCCTCATTCACAATGATTTGATTTTTTGTCCATTGATGTCTGATACCTGATCCCTCCAACACCTCGTAATCACACCGGCTGGTGTGCTTCTTCCATGTGGGCTTTGTTGCTTCTGAACTAGATGGCTGCTTGTTTATGTTCAAGCCTTTAAGACCCCCGACGGTATATCTTTTGATAGGTGGGCACCATCAACTTTCTTCACCACATTTGCTTGTGCACCGGCTATGTCTTCAGTGATTGTGTTGGGAACATGAGCATCATGGAATGCCAGTTTAATAGAAAAAAAGTGTTCTTACATTGAGGGAGTCGAACCTTTCAATCCAGTGTAGCTGGGTTAAGCCGCCTAGGGCACGTGGTTTTTTCCACGAGTGAAAGATGAGTAGAAGTAATTTCTCTTCTGCTGTCTTCCCATTTGGTGAGACTCTGCCTTTGTACATGGGTAACGCCCTCTGGTCCACTCCACCCAGAACTCCATTAGCAAATTGCCCTGCTTCCCCCAATTTAAGACCCATGAAACTCTAACCTCAAGCCTATGATCAAGTCTAGGATCCCCTGACATATGCTTCACCATTCTGCATGATCAGCTTGCTGTACGTAAGTATAGACGGAACACGCTAGCTTGGACCTATGGAATTCAGTAGTACTGGGCTGGGATAGCCTCTTTATAAAAGATTACTTCTTGATATAAAGCTCTGTCTCATACATATGGGTGACAACAGTTCTGTTTTTCTGAAAATGACATATCATACAGAAACGCTGAAACAGCAGCAACACTTCCCTGACACTGAGACAATACTTTGTGCCTCACAGGTTGGCGTTTTGACAAGGGTGAGTTTATTGACAGGAAAATCAACGTAATGTTAAACTTTTAGTAAACACAGCCTTCACAAGGAATAGAACAGATGCATCCGGTGTGCACCAAGGAAGATCAATGTGGATATTTACTGCACTTAAACTTAAGGTTCTTAGTCACAAACGCAATAAAAATTTACTTGAATACTGAGAGCTTTCTGTTTATGGGGAAGTCATGACATGCATGCTGTTGAGTGAAAATGATTATATTTGCCTGATACAACAAGGTTTTCCCATTATCAGGACCACATACTGGAGGAATAGCAAAGTGTATGACTGATTTGATCACTCTACATTTAAAGAGAAATGGATCCATACCTACTGAGGCCAGGTTTCTGAAAGTTTCCATCATCACATGTCTATAGAGTTTCCTCTGAGAACGATCCAGCAAGGCCCACTCTTCCGGGGAAAAGTCCACAGCCACGTCTTCAAAAGCCACGGCGTCCTAAAACAGCATGCATATTCTAGTTCAACAAGGTACCGTGAACTCCAATAGGTGAAAAGTGGAGGAGGATGACAGTCCTGTGCACTGAGAGTTCAATGACATTAGACACAATGTTGTCATAAGGAAGACCATCAAGGGTGAGCTACCACTCTCATTCCATCACTGCCGAGACATACTTGCTCACTCATTACATGCTATGACAGACTGAACATCTCTTCTCACAAAATGAACTGATCTCTCCACAGGTTATCTGACCAACTCAATACATTACTCTCCATTCCTATGGTCCAAATTAGTCAGAAGACATAACTCAAAGCAGGCAAAAGTGCTCTAAAACAAAAGCCCTATTTTCACATACATCACTTCTCTTCCAACGGAGGGGGGGGATTCACTTCCCTGCAAAGGACCACCGAAAGCTTTGGACTCACGGTCCTCTCTTTGAAGAACCCTAGTTGATAAAGAGCTGACATGTTATCTGCTGTTAAGAGATGCTGACTTTGAGGAATGCTGGTCTTTTCTACAGAGTTTCTATGTCATACATGTATGTATCACAAACTACCATTCTGCACCTCATGGACACAGGCACAGGAACTGAAAAGAGAGAAAGAACATGGGTGAAGGACACTTAACAAGAGAAAACAGACATCAGACTGCTTTCATACTGAAACACAGAGCCACTGGAATGCAGTTTTCACCAAATGCCCCCTTGAGAAACGTAAATGGACACGGACAAATGCACTAGCGTTATGCTGATAAAGAACATAATATGTGAGCATCATAATGTAATGGCCTTTCGTTTGCAGATTGAGGAAAAAATAGTTCAATTTCCCAAAATTTCATGGAAATGAAATGGTTTAGAAAGAATGCTACCAAACAGAGACCTGCTTACCAACCCTTGAGACATTACACTCCAAAATTATCTCCCATGTGCAAACCTTGGAAAGCACATCAGCTTCACTATCTCACCATGAGGACCCCCGGCATCCCCTGCTTTGTTGGACTGGAGCCTGTGACCTCTGACACTTCTGCTTCCACATTTTGTCGGGGTACAACAGTCCCTGTATCTAGATGGTCATCAACTTGGGAACGCGGAGAAGCAGCATAAAAGAGAAAG